CCTAGACACGCACCCCCCTCCAGACCCTACACACGCACCCTCTGCAAACCCTAGACACGCACACACGTTTCCCCCAGGGCTACCCTCCCCTTTCCCCCTTCTGCCGGGCTCTGTGCTCCCCCCAGACTGTGCGGCTCTGGAGCAGCCTGCGAGCCCCAGTGGGATGCGCTGTGGGCGCTGGGAGTAGCAGCCGGTCCCGGTGCGGCAGGAAGGGCCCCTGGTGCAGCCACCCCTCGCTGCACCTTGGCTCTGGCATCGCCCGGCCCTCTGGGGGAGCCGCCAGTGTCCGGCTCCCTCTGCTGGAGAGAAGAGGAAGATTTCACGATTCCCTTTGGAGAGAGGTGCCCGTTAATGACCAGAACAGGCGCGCTGCCCCCCTGTGCATTCAAGGGGGGCGCTCTGCCCCCTGCAGGCCCATGCACTGTAACACTGCCACCCCGCTCCAGCTGCTGTGTGCGGACGCCAGGCCTAAGGCCAGGGGCGGGGCAGTCCCCCAGCCGGAACAAGTCTCAGCCAGCCTGGCTCTGGTCAGCCCCGATTCACATACGCCCCAGACCAGCCCACACTTGTAAACAGGAGCCTAGGCACTGCCCAGCCAGACGTGGCCCATGGTCCCATTTGCTCCAGTGTTGTCAGCAGTGGCCAGTACCAACTGCTTCAGAGGAAGTACAGATCCCCCACCGGACAGCTATGGAATAACCTAGCCAGGAGGGAGCCCCTATCAGCTGCGGGTTCACTGTGCCCTGCAGTCGGAAAGTTGATGTCCTTTTTACGGCTTTAGCTAATAAAACTTTGGGCATTCGTCTTCTTAACATAAATGTCAAATCCTTTTATCCATCTTGCGATACGCTTGGACCAGTGGCAAGGAGTTCCAAAGGTTAACAATCTATGTTTGAGACCCCAGCCTTTCCTTTTCCCGGGGTTCAGTTCATCCCGTCTCAGTTGCATGGAATGCCCAAAGCTCTGCTGGGACACCGAAGGGGAGTTTACACCACAGAAGTCACCGCCATGTTCAGATCATTGGAACAAGGCAAATAACCCTGTGATGTGCCAGCATAGAAGGAAGCTCCTGCCCGACCCCAAGCCTGTGCAGGAAGCACTGTCACTGGCGATCCCCTACAGGACTTGACTCTGCCTCCCCTCGCAGGTGGATCTGCTGCGTCCCACCATCCTTCATGGCATAAAGACCCAGGGGGCCCGGCAAAAGCTCTCCAGCCTCTACATCTCCCAGTTTGTCATCTTCTATGGCCTTGATGGCAAGTGGTGGAAGAGCTACAAGGGAAATGCCACCAGCTCCCAGATGGTAAGTGAAGGAGAGAACACAGATCTGCCTGGAACTGACTGATGGGCCAAGCATCCGGTCTGCGGCAGTGGCCAGAACCCTCCAGCTCTTATAAATCTCTACTGCTATCCCAGGGTAAAGAACTTCCCCAGCAGGTGGTAAGTTTTCGCCTAAGGTGGTAAGTTCATTTCTCTAGTAATTGTACCCTAGTTCATCCCATGGCAGATGTTTTTGTCCAGATAGGTGTCTGATCATTTGGAAACCTACTCTTCAGTGACATCATGTGACAGGGAGTTCCACTGGCTCTTTTTGAGTTGTATGGAATAGGATTTCTTCGTATCCACGTGAACAGTGTTTATATTCATTTCTCCGAGCCCTGTTCCTGGTTAATAGGTGCCAAACTGGAGGGACCTTCTCGCCACTCAGCAATCTGTAGACCGCTGTCCTCTTCCTTCTGCGGGCACTGGAGTAACAGGCCCATCTCCTCCCTCCCTGCAGGTGTTCTTTGGGAATGTGGATGCAACGGGAGTGCAAGATAATCACTTCAACCCGCCAATCATCGCTCGGTATATCCGCCTGCACCCCACGCACTACAGCATCCGGACCACGCTGCGCATGGAGCTCATTGGCTGTGATCTGAACAGTAAGTCCCTCCGTGTGGCCCTGGCTCCTCCGCTGTGGCCTCTCCCGCCGATTTCTGCCCGAGCTGAGGGTGCTCCGGGCCTGCAGGGTCGGACCACACTGGAGCTGGCTCCGGGCATCCCGGGAGGAAGGGGCGTGATGTGCTCGAAAGCCGCCTTGCCGACGGAGGACTCTAGGGGTTCTGGGAGGCCAGTGGAGCCAGCACTCGGGGGGTGTTGGCCGCGGGGAGCACGTCCAGCCTCAGCTCTGCTGGGGGCCCTGTTTGCTCAGCTGCCCTATTCAGGCCAGGGGAGCCCGGGAGCGGGTGGAGTCCCCCTCTCACGCTCACTGGCTCAGCGGCGGAGGGAGCGCTGTGCCGGGTACTCCAAGCAGTGCTGAGGGCTGCCGGGGGCTGGCTGCCCTGGCCCCACCCTTTCCACCTGAGTGCAGAGCCGGGCCCGTCCCCCACCTTGCCCAGGGGCCCCTGGGAGCCACGCTGGATAGGGACGGGCCACTCGAGCTGCGCTGGGGATTGGGCCAATCTGGAGACGTGGGTGCTGGGCTGGCGGGGGCTGAGCTGTGGGGCTAGCTGTAGCCAGATAGAAGGCGCGTGCGCGGCAGGACTGTGACCTGCTCCGGCTAGAACAGGTTGGCCAGTGGGCCACCAAATGTGAGTAATGGGCAAGGAGAAGGCCCCTTGGTTCCTAGCGCTTCCCCTCTCTTCCAGGCTGCTCCATGCCCTTAGGAATGGAGAACAAAGGCATCTCCAACCAGCAGATCTCTGCCTCCTCCCACAGCACGACTGTGTTCTCCAGCTGGGCTCCCTCGCAGGCCCGACTGAACCTGCAGGAGAGGACGAACGCCTGGAAGCCAAAGGTACCCCAGGGCCAGCCTCCCCAGGGAGTCCCTGTGGGAAAGGGCAGAGGAGCAGTGGGTCGGCTGTAGCTGCTGCAGGCCCCGCCCACAACACAAGTAAAGTGTGACTGTGACGCCCCCAACACGCCGCACTGAGTTGTGCCTTTTGCACAGCACGTGCGTATCACGCTGGGCAGGTGCATCTGCACCCATCATGCTCCCTGCCACGGGGCCCCGAGCACGGTGGGGAAATCAAATGAACTGCCCCCAGTGCTCGGCAGAGCACCCGAAGCAGGCACTTTGGGATGGTCAGCCTGGTGCCGCCGGTGCTCTCGGGTCCTCCCTTGGGTCCAGGAGCATGCATCAATCTAGCAGGCGACACCTGGTAGTTTGGCGCCAGCCGGGTGCAGACAGGTACCAGCTCCGCTCAGGCTTTGTCCTCACTGCCTGGGGCTGAGGACACTGCGAGCAGCAGGAGGGAGGTGGTGGCTCTGGCATGGGAGGAGAGGGGAGCGTTCGCGCTGTCTGGTGGCCGTTCCCAAAGGGGACAGGTGGCTGGTGTGTCGTTCCCCAGGTGGACAGCCCCACGGAGTGGCTGCAGGTGGACTTTGAGAAGATCATGAGGGTCACTGGAATTGTAACCCAGGGTGCCAAAGCCATCTTCAGTCCCATGTTCGTGAAGGAGTTTGCCGTCTCCAGCAGCCAGGATGGCTCGCACTGGACTCCGGTCCTGCAGGACGGCAAGGAAAAGGTGAAGGGAGCCTGGCTGGTGCCTAGGAGGTCCGGGAAAGCCCAGCCGATCACAGACACTGGCACTTCCGGGCTCATGCTTGGGGGGGCTGGCAACCGACAGCAGTTCCAGGGGGTTGGCATGGCTAGCGCCAGGCCACCTGGCAGAGATGTGCGACCGGCCAGTGCTTGCTTGCCTTGCAGGGAGGAGCAGCTGGGGCTCAGGGTCAGGTCTGTTCTCATGCAATCCCCCAGAGTCCTGTTCCCGGGGGCCACTTCCTCATTCCCAGAACAGCAGCCACTGCAGTGTTTTCTGGGGAGGTGTGGCCCCGCCTGGCTGGCAGAGGTGAAAGAGGCCCGGATGGGCGCTCCGGTGAGACCCAGCCACCGGGCCGGGCTCTCTCCTCCAGAGTGTTGCAGGCTGGGGCTGGGCCCTGCGCTTTGGGGAGACGCAGGGCTGGGGTGGTGCAGGGCCTCACAGCAATGCAGTCAGCCCTGCTCTGCTCCATCCAGCCCCCTCTTCAGGGGCACGTGGGGCTGGGCTGTGCAACAGGCCCTTCTCTGCACCACTCCGCTACAGCTGCCTCGCCAGCTCCAGGTGGCGCTCGGGAGAGGAAGGGCAGGGGCTGGGGAGAAGGGGCAGAAAGGGGCAGGTGCCCAGCCCCCCGGGATGGCCTTGCCTGCCCTCAGCTTTTGTGTCAGATGTGATCCGTCTGCTCTCTTCCTACACCCAGGTGTTAAACAGCGCCCGGCGCCCTGTCTGCCCGCGCTGGGGGCTGGAGCAGAGCGCGGAGAAAGCCTAGTGGAGCAATTCGCTGCCTGCTCCTAACCCAGGGCAGAGCTGGTTCCTCTAGTTTATTCTCCAGACCCTTGTGCTGTTCATCTTCCAAGGTCCCAAGTGATGAAGTTTCTGTCCCTTCTCTTGGGGCTCTCTAGTGCGGGCCGCTAGCCCCTGCTGCTCGAATCCCCTCCTGCCCTTATCTTCCCTCGCCTGCAGCCCCCGCAATAATTCCCCTCCTTCAGACCCAGGGAGCGCCTCCCGTAGCATTGTCCTGCCCCCGACGGGTAGCCAGGGGGCAGCTTCCTCCCTCGGGTAATCCACTGACGGCCCAGGCTGGGGCGGGGGCGGGGACGAGACTCTGAATCTTTCCGAGGGGCAGAGAGCGGCCCGGCCCTGCCAGAGCAGAGAAGGTGCCAACCGTTGCTTCCTCCCACCAGGTCTTCCAGGGCAACCAAGATCATCTCAGCACCGTGGTGAACACCCTGGACCCGCCGCTCTTTGCCCGGTATCTGAGGATACGCCCCCGCCGGTGGCATCACCACATCGCCCTGAGGACGGAGTTCCTAGGCTGCGCCGCTGCCCCCCGCCTCTGGCGCCTCTGCTGTGCCGTGTAGTGGGCACAGAACAGCACCGTTAAACCGTCGTTTCCCAGCACACGTCAGCCAGCCCTGCCTCCTCCCCGGGCTCAGCCAGCCTTGAACCGGGCCCCGAGGCAGCAAGAATAGCAGCTAATAATTAATTAGCCACTGAGTCTGCTTCCTTTTTCTTCAGAAACGCTGCCCCCCGCCTCTGGCGCCTCTGCTGTGCCGTGTAGTGGGCACAGAACAGCACCGTTAAACCGTCGTTTCCCAGCACACGTCAGCCAGCCCTGCCTCCTCCCCGGGCTCAGCCAGCCTTGAACCGGGCCCCGAGGCAGCAAGAATAGCAGCTAATAATTAATTAGCCACTGAGTCTGCTTCCTTTTTCTTCAGAAACTCTCAGGAACTGGCCCGGGCCCCAGCCTGAAGGATGGAGGGTGCGGCCCGGAGAGATAAGGCTGTGGCCCGTCAGCGGGGTTCTGCCCCCCTGGCGGGGCTGGGCTGGCTCGGGAGGGTGCCTGCAGCCGTGCCGCCTGGCTCCGGGCTGGGGACTCTTCCCACGTGCCCTTTGGCTTCCCTTCCTGTGCTTAGCCAATAGCGAGCCGGCACTTTCAGGCCCGCTGCCACATTCCACCCTCAGCAAGGTGCTTGCTCATTCCCAGGAGTAACCCCCCTTCTCCGGGCTTGGCTTCCGCCCGTGGGCCTCTGCCCTGGGTGCTGGTCGCCAGAGTGCAGCCCAGCAGGCCGTCGGATTGTCCCAGACGCCCCCTCCCACCCCGCGGACCTGGCCAGCAGGCCGTCGGATTGTCCCAGACGCCCCCTCCCACCCCGCGGACCTGGCCAGCAGGCCTGCGGAGGTTCCCGCTCCGTTGGTAAGGCCATCTGGCCGCTTCCCACTGAGCCCGCCCTGACGCTGGGGGAGTCGGCCGGGAGCTGGTTGGGCTGTTCAGGGTCTCTGGGAGGCTCCCCCCAAGCGTCCGACAGACCGGGCCAGGGCTCCTTTCAACCGAGAACGGGGAGGGAGGTTGCTCTCAGAGCTCTGCTGTGTGAACCATGTTGCCGCTACCCCGGGCAGCAGCAAACTCTAGTCCCCCATCGACTTGGAGGGGAAATCCTGAAGCAGAGGGGTCCTGCCTTGGGCGGGGGCTGGACTTGACCTCCTGAGGTCTCGTTCAGCCCTGGGATTCTCTGAGATGGCTTCATGGCTCTTTGGCTGATCCCAGAAGAGCCTGTATCTTTTCATAGAGGGCTGATTGAGAGCTGGACAGTAAGGGACATGCCAGGCACCCGGGGGGAGGGAGGGGGGGTTGATTGAAAATTGTCTTTGCAGTTTTTTAGATTTTTGTTGAAAACCTTAAGACTGGAGGGAGAAGCGAACTCACAGAATGGAAATAAGTGCATCTCCCTGGCAAAAGCAGACGTTCATTTGGGGGAAAAATACCCCGAGAGCCTAACGGGACCCTCCCCACTGCAGTACCACCCAGCTATGGTGCCAGGGTCTGCCGCACTGCGGACAGTCAGAGCGTGAGTTGGCAGAGGGCAGAGGCTGCAGGGAAACAACAGTCAGGGACCTGAGGGTCCGTCTACACTAGCCCCCTAGTTCGAACGAGGGTGGTAACGTAGGCAACCGGAGCGGCAAATGAAGCCCAGGATTTGAATTTCCCAGGCTTCATTTGCAACATGCCAGGTGCCGCTTCCTATTCCGAACTACCGTTACTCCTCATGAAACGGAATAGGAAGCCTAGTCCGAACTACCCAGTCCGTGCCGCGTGTAGCCGCGCGGCACGGAGTCCGCACTAGCGAAAAATGGCGGCGCCCGGCAAGATGCAAATGAAGCCTGGGAAATTCAAATCCCGGGCTTCATTTGCAACTCCGGTTGCCTACATTAACCACCCTCGTTCGAACTAGTGTAGACAGACCCCTAGGGAGTGATGCTGAGGCCCTGGGGAGGGAAGGGGTCCCTGTCTCTCAGAAAGTGGGAAAGGTGGAGAGCCCCTGGCCTCCCCTACACCAGCCCAGGGATTCCGGGAGGCGGGTGATGTTCAAGAGCTAATCTTCCATGGGAAAGGCAAACGACTGTGCGGGAGGGCATGCTGGGGTCAGAGCACAGGGAGCAGGGTGGAGGGCAGGGATGTAAAATCCCAGTGAATCAGTTAACCGACCAGTGGGATCTCACTGCTCCAGCCCCACAGCCCACGGGACTCCTGCTCCCAGCCCTCATGCTAGGACTGGGAGCGGGGCTGGCGCCCGGCTCCCACCAACAAAGCTCTCTCGGGCGGTTGTGAGGGGGGCTGGCGCCTGGCTCCCTCCGACACAGCTCTCTCGG